TTCGCCACCTTCCAGAGAGGAATGCTTGAGTCAAGCATCCCCGCCAGAAAGTCGTTCCATTGCTCATTGCGGAATTCATGAAGAGCATTTCTTACTTCATGAACAAGATTTGTCGCTCTGCGAATGTCATCAGGATGACAAGACCTTTTCGCTTGCTTAATTGCAGCTCTTTTATCAGAAATTTTCTGACGAATGTCTGCTGGCAGAAAAGGTCTGCCGTGTCGCTGCACGGGAAGTACAGCTGCACGCTGCAGAGTTTGCTGAACAAAACTTGTCCACTCTGCTTGAGCCGCATCTATACCGTTCTCATCATCTATGATCGGTATATTGGGGAACTCTTTGAGGAGCGACTTGTATAGCTCCCAATCAATGCGTTTCCTTGGAGGGATTTCATCCCCCAAGATCTGCTCATTAGCCACTTCCAAAACGACGGGAAGATGATCGCTTGAGATGTCATACATGATTCGAGAAGTGATACTGTAGCTACAGTTTTTGGATAATGCCAAATCAAGAACATCAGGTGCCTGAAGGTGATTAAATGGGTGGTGCGTCGGCTCCTCAGTACTATGTATGAGGTAGCCATTTCGTATCACATGGTTGTACAGTCGGATCCCACTGGTGGAATTCAACCTGGAATGCCATGCTCGATGTTTGCAGTTGAAGTCCCCTGCCACAATAAGTGGACCCGAGTAGTCTAAAAGGACTTCCAGATCCGCCTCTTGCAGCCTGTTACCACACCTGACATACACCGATGTGATTTTTAACGGCACACCTCCCGTCATATTGACCACCACGGAAGCCGCTTCGACGCTCTGCATGTCAGCGTTTGTGCTTCTGTGGTAGTCAATACCGCGTTTCACTAGCACTGCCAAGCCGCCACCCCGTCCAGTCAATCTATCAGCCCGGATAACATCGTAATTCGGGAAAGCTAGACGATCTCCCGGATTAAGTAATGTTTCCTGCAGCAAGGCCACATCTATACTTTCGTCCACAAGAGCTTGATGAAATTCCCGTCTTTTGGGAATGTCCCTTAGACCCAAACAATTCCAAAAAAGAATTTTGATAAATGCAGGCTGTCGTCGATTGTACCTAGCCATTTGCAGGAAAGATCGCCTGCAAAGCCTGTGTTGCGCTAATCAGAGGACCTATGATCTGCTGTAAGGACCTTAGCGCGGTTGCCAGGTCCACATTTTGCGTGTTCGCAGAAGATCCCACAGAGGGGGCAGCCCGGGTTGCATCCCTAGCTGCATCCGCGTAACTTACATTGCGCCTTTGCGCTATCACTTGCAGATTTTTCTTAGGGGCAAATCTGCAAGTTCGGCTATTCGCTGGATGCCCCCCTCCACAGTTCGCGCACTTTCGTTCCTCTTGTTCTGTTTGAGGGCATAAGTGGGTTATGTGGTCAGAAGCACATTTTAGACATTTAGGTGGTGCAGTGCAGTAAGATTGCGCATGCCCATATTTTCGACAGCGGTGACACTGCCCGATGAGTCTTGAGTTCTTTTGAACTTCGACTCTAAAGTCTAAACTCTAAAGTCATTTGGCTGACCATAGCGATTTTTTTTTGTAAAACAGTTTTTTCTATCGTGTTCTAGAAATGAGAGATATCAATTTTGAGGAACAGGTCTGCAAACAAGTTTTGGCCCATGCAGATAGTGCTTTGTCAAGAGCTCAAGTTTTCGGTGGTTTAAGGCATTTTCAGAAGGGATACGGTCGACTGAAGTTGAGCCACGAAGCGGAAGACCTTCATCGGCAGGATCCAGGATCTTGTGCGTTTAGATCTCATTGACAGTTAAAATTTTCGATGAAGAGCTAAAGTTGTCTCACACTTCCTACATCAGGTCAAGAATAACTGGATGCTTCATCGCGATAATGCTCCTTGTCACTCAACGATGTCAATAAACGAGTTTTTGGCCAGTAAAAACATTACTATGCCTCCCCCCCCCAAGTTCGTAGGCTGACAAACTACCGTAGTGGCAAAAAACCATATAAATCTTCAAAGTTATGATATGAAGTGCGGTGCTCTGGAAAAATATCCTTTCATCCAGCGGAACAACCAAAAAGATGAGAATATATGACATCCGGAGATTTCAATAATTCAAAAAGCATTTCAGACGAAAAAATGTATCATAAAATGTTAAAAGCCTGCCTCGACCGAGGATCGCAGTCCCGTGTCTCCCGTCCATTATTTTCACGTCCTCCGAAACTAAAATACCTTTTCCTTTTAGTCAGCAGGGTGTCATATTTTCCTCCATAGTTCATTCTTGCCCTTTACTCCAAATCGATATTGTCGTATAAACTTGGAAAATGATGATGGGTTTGGATTGGAACTGCCACAAACAACAAACGTATTACAAAGAAAATAAAAATGCACGTTCTCATATTGTAGGTATTCCCAGCAGGTGAATATATGATTGTGGTGCTACATACAATTTAGTGACATAAACGATATTTTACTGCTACGCGATATTTTGTTGCATTTATCCGTTAAACGTTTATCATGATTGTTGTAAATGTACTTCTTGAAAGACGAATAAATAGTAACCTTGATTCAGTAAATAAACTGTGTGTGATTGATTTTTTTTTTCATATTTATCAGACACCCAGTTAATAAATATGTCGGTTTTGGCTGCAGCTGACTACAAGTTCGTCAATTATGTCCCATTATATAATACATGAATTATACCTTGAAAACATATAAAACAGTAACTTGAGCGTGATCGACAACTTTTTTGCAAACATGAGATAACTATGATAACTAGTATAACGGCTTCTGGGACTCCCCGTAGAAACTCCTTCAATTGCGTGTAAGTGTACTCACACAGATACAAATTAAATTACTGCCATCGAAATACTTGTTTTTAAAAAAAACTTTATTTTGGTTAACGGTACAAAAAGACTTTTGTGAAACCTTGTCACGACGATGCGTAAAACAGGACGGTTAGACAAGAAGTGACAAGATTTCCTCACACATGGATTTAGTACAATGCAGTAGAAATATAATATGCTGATACAGAAGATGTTAACATGTGAACTTCAAGGCGCGAGATAAGATTCCATAGCGTAGCGAGCATGCTAACAAGAAATACAAGTACCAGGTAATAATTATAATATTATATAAAATACAGGGTGATGATGGATATAACTTACATACTGTACTAGTCTCGACTCCCTGAATATTCACCTGCCCTTGCTTGAAATTCACAGACATCCAAAGCAGGCGGCGTATAACGACCTTGCAAAACCGACGTTGGCTATTCTATTCTTAATTAGAATTTTAATGAATCTCTAAATAAACTCCTCTAATAAATATAACAAGGGCTACAGAAAAACCAATTACGTTGAAATTGGCCTCCTAAGGGAATGTGGGTGTCCCAAATGACGTAGGTGATGAAATTATTATATAAGTGGTCTTGGTGGAGTTATCAGTAAACATTGAGGGAAATATCAGTGACATTCACCGTTTGATAGTTGTATTACGATATCGAAAAAGGGATGTCTTTAGAGTTCGTTGATAATATAGTGTGATTCAAGTGACAATGGCGATTCTTCTGAGGCGGAATGTACATGGCAAAGAAATACGAAAAGCTCTAATACAGACCCTGAACTACCTGTTTTAGCCGCATGACACAATGAAATAAATTTACGACTAAATGCTAAGAAACATTGATGACTTTATAGTAACTACCTATAATAGGGGAAAGTCGCCTATATCTTACTGGCTCCTTAATCGTACCGTGTCGATATTTCAGATATTACGCTTATATGTAAAACATCTTTCACCACAATTAGAAACCCTAAAGTTGGCAACCAGTAATACCAGCAAAAGTTTGACAGTAGCGCGTATCGCTCCCGACATGTTTAACGTTTCATTTTGTGCGGCAAAGTGATATAAAGTCTGGTTGACCTACCGTAAGTAGTTTTGGATATTTTAGTTGACTAAACCTAATATCTACTGTATGCCTTTAAGATTAACAACTTTTATACACTTTTTGATAACTTTAAACATAACCTTATTTCTATAATTTCCAGAAAAACTTTATCTTTATTTATTTGGTGCAAAGTTGCCTTGATCGTACCATTAGAGATTGCCTAAATCGTACCGGTACGATTAAGGCAATTTATACTGGTACGATTACGGAAGCTATGTAGTAACAGTTTTTTTACTTTTTTATTTTTTTTTATAGATAATGGGAGAGCCAAATGAAATGAGAAAGTACGGACAGTGGTCTGAAGCGGACATGAAAGCAGCCTTAAATGTTTTTTCGTGAGGGAAACATAGGTTTTAATGAGGTTTGTCCCCAATATCCCAAAGCCAATATTTAGGAGGCATTTAAAGTCCTATAATGTTAGAGCCAATGAATCAAAAAAAATAATAGGTCGATCCTGTTCTTTTTCTGAGGAGATGGAGGACGACTTGGAAAAGCATATTTTAACACTAGAGTCAATTTTTTTGGAGTGACTATTCGAGAACTAAGAAAGGCTGCCTTTGAATTCGCTGAACGCAATGGTCTTAAACATAATTTTAATAAAACCACAAGGATGGCTGGAAAAAAATGGTTTTATAGCTTTATGAGTCGCCATCCACAACTTTCCTTGAGACAACCAGAATCAACTTCGATCGCACGATGTAAAGGTTTCAACAGAAGCAAGGTTCAGGAGTTTTTCAATATTTTAGAAAAACTTGTTGATGATCATGCTTTCACTACTGTCAGAAAGTGCTGGCTAAAAAAGAAAAATCGTAGGTTGGTGTCATAGCTAGCGGCGAAAGAGGTGTGAATACTACATTCGTATGCTGCGCAAGTGCTGCAGGTCAAAACGTGGCACCAATGGTAATTTTCAAGAGGAAAAGGATGGCGCCAGAGCTGGCAGATGGAGCTCCCCCAGGATCACTGGTCGAAATATCGGATACACTAACGCCGATTTGTTTGTTACTTGGTTAAAACATTTCATTGCTGCAGTTAAACCTTCAAAAGAGGATAGAGTGCTTTTGGTTTTAGATGGCCCGCGAGAATGGGGTTATTATTTTACAGCTGCCAGGTCATACCACCCACTGTTTACAACCACTTGATGTGGCAGTATTTAAGCCCTTCCAGGTCTATTATGACCAATCGGTTGAAAAATGGTTGAGAGAACATCCCGGGAGGACAATCGGTCAATTTCAGGTGGCCCGATTAATCGGAGAAGGATATGGAAAAGGAGCATGTGTCGCAAATGCCATAAGTGGATTTAAAAAATGTGGTATATGGCCTGTGGATAGAAACGTTTTCACAGATGTTGATTTTGAAGGCGGAGATGTTCTTCAAACTGAACCAAAACAAAAAGCACTAGCGGAAAGCAAGGGCGCTGACGATACACCTTCGAGTGATGATGATGTGCCCTTGGCGCTTTTAGTTGAAAAACAGAAATCGTGCGCCACCTCTGAATCTCAAGCACCCGATGTTTCTTTCGAAGACATTCTACCAATTGCAAATAGTCCTGGCAATCAGAAAAATGCAAGTAAACGTGCACAAGCAGCAAAAGTTATAACTTCAACCCCACATAACGACGAATTGAAACTAAAGCAATCTACTATCGAAGAAAAGAAAAAGAGACTGGCAAAAAGAAAAATAGGAATAGCCAATGGCCAACCGGAAAAAAAAGTAAAAATGCTTCGTATGGTTCAAATGACGTAGTGGTAGAAATAGTAGCAAGTTCTTCGTACTTTTGTGACAGTTGTTCCTAAATAACACAACTAGTTATTATTGCTTGTCCTGTTTCGTTTTTTAAATATTAAAATATTAAAATTTGTATTCCTGTTTAAATACTACTGTTATGCTACCATACTTAAGTGGTACGATATAGCAGATCAGTACGATTTAGGAAACCTAGTGGTACGATTTTGGCATCTGGTTTCCCAAGTCGTACCATTTGCAATGTTTATAAAAAATGTATTTTTCTCTTAAATTAGATAAGTAGCCATAACAAAAGAAAGTAGAAATATGTAAAAATCATTTAGTTAAATATTTAAAATAAAAGGAGCCCCTTAATATTGAAAATGTTAGCTTACTATACATTTTTCCGAAAAATGGTACGATTTAGGCGACTTCCCCCTACTAATCTTAATGGAAAGATACCAATACATAACCTATGTATAATGAGCCTAATCAATAAAAAGATGACGGGTATACTTACATTCTGTAAAGTGTAAAATCACAAAACATGAACCCGACAAATAACAAAAGTTGATGTCTAGGAAAAAGTACCGAAATTAACTAGAATTCCCCAGAAATCTGACAGAAAATTGGAACAAGCTCTAGCCTGGCAATTTATTCATAAATTTATTGTTGTGGAGAAATTGACAATTTTCATGTTTACACGTTCCAACTTCTTCAAGGATAAAAAAATAGTACAAAGCAGCAATTTGCCATAAGATGTATCGTGTGATATAGTTAAGCTAAACACACTGATTCAAAGTAGAGTAGATTTAAGTTTTGACTAATTGTGAAACGGGGTATCTTAATCTTGACATAATTTAGAGAGCAACAAATTCGGACTAGGTAGAAAATTATGTAATCAGTAGTTAGGATGCAAATTGATACTATAGGTCAATAAGGCTTAAGACGCCATTTGGACATATCACATTAAATTCGTAAACATAAAAAAGTGGGTGAGTTGCATACAATTCTAGTATTCCAGTCAGTTGCCAGAGGTGGAGGAGGTTTCTGTAGATTACAAAAGGTGGTTTAAACTGAATAAGAGCAAATCCTGTATCGACAATTGTTATGTATCATAGTCACCGGCGTTGCGGAAGGGCATGTACCTCAAAATAGGGAATTAACCAGGACAGTTGTGTGTTAATTTTGATTTATTTCATTTCGCTTTTTATTTCATTGAGCACTTAGTTCCAATCTAAGATTTGTCATCAGGAAACGGCATTGAAAATACAAAGCTAATATTTTTTATGGACACTAAAAAGGGACAGCCTACGCTTCAATTCAAGTAAAATAAATTAAATGTTGTCTTTATATACTCTAATTTTGAATCTAAAGGATCTCAGTGAAGATACCTTCGCGTTATAAGTAGTCATAATACGATCTCATTTTAGTGCCAAAAGATTATTTGAAGGAAGTTCAATACAACAAAAAAATAATGAATGTCAAGTTATTTAAGATACTTCCAAATCTTTTTATTGAATAAATATGGTGGCAATAATAATAATAATGATAATAATAAAGCATATATTGCCCGACGGTACAGTTACCATGTAGAGAGAAATACATGATTTAATTTACACAGTCTGTGTGCCTTAAAGTGGAAAAGAAACAAAAAAGAGAAAGGTGCTTTAAGCAAAGAGAAAAAATCTACGAATATGACTAACTGATAAATGCAAATAAGAATATATAGCTACATCATGTAATGTTCACACATAAATATATTACAAACGAAAACGTCTACAGAGAGGGGTAAGGAAAGTCAAAGATGTGAACGTATAGCGCTTCTTAATTCCTAAAATCTACAACAGAAGATATAACAAAAACTCCCAATCCTCGTCGCATTATTATACATAAGGTTTATTGGTGCTTTAGACACAAGATCTAACTAACTGTGCCTTCTTAAGGTGGCTACAGAAACAAACTGCAAGCTTGTGCAGCATGCTTATGCAATCTTTTTGTACAAGTATACATAACTTGACTTTGGCATCACACGTACGCTTTGGCAGCTTTTGTTCTTGTGAAGGAAAAAAGATCCTGAATAAAGAATGATTGATGAAAAGGAAAACCTATTTTCATATTAACTTACTGAGCTGAAAATATATTCGCGTGACTGACAGAATTATCTTAGAATGGATGGAGAGACGCATTTAAACCTTTTGTCTTTTGTATCACCATTGATCCAAAAGCAGGATACGATCATCAACGGACGCCAACTTGTACAAGCTTCACATTTCCCTACAGACATTCAATCGTGCTTGTACAAAAAAATTGAACAAGCATGCTGGACAAGCTTGCAGTCGTGTCTGTGCCACCTTTACAGAAAAAGGAAACTTCATCTTTGGATGTCAAGCTAGGTACTGGGAAATCAATTTACCATAGCAAAACAGGACAGTCGATGTTACCATGTCGTAATTTGTACATAAATATGATCGACGTCTGCTCTCTACGCTCCTCCAAAGAAGCGACATCAAATCTATTCGATAATAATGAGTAGTAATATCTTCTTGGGGGATAGACACCATTACACTTACATCAATGATATTTCAAAAAGTTCATAGAACATAATTTATTTTGTATGGGCCAGTTAAAAATTTGACTTTCCAGATGAAGGTTAAAATGCGGCCTTAAGAGTTGTTCAAATACAACTTGTTACTGATACACCATATTTGTGGAAAATTATTTTTTGACAATGACGCAACATCAGGAATTTTCAGGTTTTTCACAATTTTCAATGTCAAGTATTCCGCCATTGTTGCTGTTTGATGGAGATGATTTTTCATATTGTATCCCATTTTCGACGATTGTCGCAATAATAATACTTCCTCGCCATTTGGAGGGAGAAGTAAAAAAGGTAGTGGGGTCAAAAAAATTCTTTCTATTTTTCATGCATCAATGTAGTCCAGTTTTCGCGTTCCTAGTTTATCTTGGGGGATAAAACTTATGTATATTATTTACCCTGTTCAAAGCTTAGAGCACCTAACTTCTTTTTTGATTTCCTAACCACAACCTCAAAATCCTGTATCAATAGAGGATGTAGTAGAATACTACTATCAGAGTTTTATATGCATATATCTGCGAGATGGCAATTGTCTGAATCTTACTCGTTTTCAAAAATATTGTATCGCTTACTGGTTTACTATTCCTATTTAGATGTTATAACAATAAATCATATCCAAAGTATTATTAATACATGTTGCAGGCTTGTGAATACTCTCAGAAAATGTCATATATCAAAGGCCATTAATGATCTCAAATGGATGGAAGACTGTCTCATAGGGTTCTTTATTCAAGAACGTACGTCGAGGATATACTCATGGCTTTAATATTACATTAACCATGCTTTATTATTACCGTTATTGTATACAGACATTGATTTTTGAAAAAATGTAGTTTGTATACATTTCGTATTGTTAAGCGGGTTAGTTGGTGGAATAGATATAGTATCTAAACCTCGCCTCCTGTAATGCTATTACAAATAAAAAAAGGTATTGATTATTATTATTATTGACATTGTTATTATAATTATTATTATTATTATTATTATTATTATTATTATGACCTATCTAACTTTCTGTGTCCTGAACGGCATTTCTGGAGATATATGGATGTGTATTTTGAAAATATATTTCTACCATCCAGGCAATCTATTTTGAGTTTTTTTAACAACTATCATCCAAAAACAACCTCTTTCCTGCTAGCAATTATTTTTACAACGCTGGAAAGGAAAAGCTTTCGAGCAGGGTGAAAAAAGTTAAACAGAATTTTTTATAGTGGCATTCCATGTTCATAATGTGCACTCTAATCCTCCTCCGTCCCTCCTCACCCGTGACGTGTCGCATAGCTTTAATTTTTTCATAGAATCGAGCTTTCATCTTTTTATTGAATCGCTGTGAAAAACGCGTACATGCTATGTACATAACTATGTACATACTTCATGATGGGTCAGTTTCTATTTATTCACTTTATGCACCGAAAATGAATACACACTCTACGCCTGATGAAATGTTTTATGTAAACGTAACTAATGCATGACAAACACATGCGTGTTGTTTTTATAAATGACTAGTGCTGTATGATTTGCCGGGTCTTTGTTATTTTAATTAAACTGTATATCACTCTGCCATATCCCAGTAAAAGATATAAACAAGTTCCTTTGAAAAAAACACAATAAATTGTGCTATCAAAACGAATCTACACATCTCATGTTGTAGTAATAGTGATATTCAATTGTCTCCAAAATATGCAACCATTACACATTAAAATTCATAGAAGACAAATAAATGAAGATCCCACAGAAGGGTGGCACTTGTGCCCATGTAAAGAAATTAGAAAATACTTATATAATAACGATGACGTAAAACAATAAAATGGTTTTCTTTATTCTAATTTAACATATAAGCGATGTATGTGTATCAATTTGGTGAAGTATCAATTGTTTTACTTGTAGAACTGGTATATCAGCCATCTCTCTGGAGCAAAACCAACAAACAGACAGTTTCAAATGTGCCACTAAGATTTAATGAGTAACTAAATTAGCGACTGATTTACCTACAACTATTCCTTGGAACATATCACAAACAGCCGGGAGTAAATAAAATCTACAACAAGTAAGATATAAAAAGAGTTGCACAGTACACATTCAAATTCAAATTCAAACTCCTTTATTATGTCCGAACACTATACATAATTATAGAGAGGAACACGTCATACAGGTATGTATAACACAGAGTATTTCCAAACGTAAATACGAAATAAAAACAAAACACATTCATAAAGGTAAAACTTAACCAGTGAAGAACCTGCAAGTTACAATGTATAGTTCGTGCCTTCTATGTATATTACGAATTTTAATTCCGGGACTTCATGCAGCCAGATTTATATTTGTTTTTTTAAACGATTTCAAATTGTTCCTTTTTTTATAAAAGAGTCAGCCTACTTGGGGCCATTTTTTCTATCTAAAGCAGGTCGTGATGGCAGAC